CGACGACGACAAACTTCTTGGTGATGAAATTATCGATACTCAACTGGCCGTTTGCGCAACCACCGACCACCAAGTTTCCATCCAGTGGATTCACAGCTACCGACGTCACTTCCCTCGGACTTTCGAGTACCAATTTCGGTGTCAAACTGTCGTCCAACGACCATACCAGGACGAAATTGTCGTCGTGAGCTTGGACAACCTGTTGTCGAGAACGAACAAGCTCGACGTAACGCTTTGTTTCTTATTCTCGAGAATCGGAGCGAAAGAGAGACGGTGCTCACCTCTTCGTTCGATTTACGTCCGATCAGGCGTTGACTCTTGGCGTGCCTCGTGTAAGCGGCAAACGCTATACCGCTCCACAATGGATGCCAACACAGATCGTTGATCACTTTGTCCACCGCGTGCTGTTCGTCCTGAAAACTCGAATGTTCCTCGTAACTCGCCGGTATCGGCCGTTGAGTGTCTCTCGCGTTTCTCGCCAAATTGCCGTAGTCGTTCGTATAAATGTCCCAAGTAGCGTTCAACAGCAACTGTCGCGAATACGTAACGACGCGCGATGCAGCGAGCAGCGACGAGTACCGAACGCGTCGAGTGAAACAACGATCGTTGGTGCTGATTTTTACGAATTGAAAAGTTGAAAGACCGTTTGAAACGAAAAGAATGACTGTCCGATGAGATGGACTGCTCGATCGTTGCACGCTGCGAGTAAACGCGCGTCCGTGTGTTCGAGTTACACGGAGAGAGAGAGAGAGAGAACCAACTTGGTCGCAGACGTGATCGGCGAAACGACGAAGGAAACTCTTCAAAGATTCTGTTTCCTCCGGGGTAGAGTCGTTCGACGCGTCGGCGGACTGACGTTCGTACTCGTACTGAATCCAACGGTTCGTCGATACCGAAAGAGCCGTCTCGGTTGTCGCGTCTCGAACGTCCGGCGTAACCTGGGTCCCGTTGCTCGACAGTTTCCGCGAAACACGTTCCGAGAGTCGACGATGAGAAGGAGGAACCAGTTGCGCGTGTCCGTCTCTGACGTCTTCCGCCTTTCTGTCTTGCAGTCGAAGCGGTGCGTCGAGCGCGTCTACCGTGCCTGTTACCTGATGACCGCCAACAACCAACGAACCGACGAGTCCCCGTTCAGCGACCGTTCGATGTTTGTTCGTACCGTCGTTTCAAGGCGCGCGAATGCCCGACGAAACGTCCAACTTCTGATCGCGGCGTAGATAGGAAGAGAGGGATAACGCGATAGGCGGTAAGAAGAACGAGGACGAGTGGAAACACGGGTACGAAGAGAGCGAGCGAAATGAATTCGTCGTGCGTCGAGCGTGTCGAGTGCCTGCGACGCCGTGTGAAAGCGATTTTTCGAAACTTTTTCACGCGTCGTGCGTGAGAAAAAATCGGTACGTTTGATCGTTGACGTCCGTCGAACGAAACGAAAGATCGATCGGTGACCGAACCGATGCGGGTACTTTTGTTCGTCGTGCCTCGCGTCGCGCTCCTCTTACCTCGATCTCTAAAAGCGGTCTGCTCTTCTTAACGACGTTCGCTTCGATCTCCGCGCCGCTGTTAAATTCCCGCCACTTTGCCAATGCCGGCTTGTAGACGGCAGTTCTCACCCGATTCTCGTGTTCCTCTCTTTGTTTCCGAATTTCCTCGACCACGGCGTCGCGACCTTCCTCGGTCAGGCATACGTAGAACTGGCCTTCTTCGGTCAACGATGGAACGTAACCGATCGGTATCTTCGAGTTTGGAAACTTTTGAATCTCGTTCTTTATCGGCAAGAAGTCGCTGCTGTCTTCGTGAAGATCTATATTGTCCTCGATGATCTCTTTTCGCACGTGTACCCAAGGATATTCGGTGCTGACGTTCTCTCCTATGACGCAGCCGATCACCTTTTGCGTCAGAGGTGACAAATTGATTCTCGCTATACCCGGTACGCCCTGCGGAAACCGGAGATACAACGTATCGCGTGTCCATTTGGGAAAGGCTGTCCGTTTCGCGTCGA